TTCTTGATATAGCTAGATCAGTTCTAAATATCTACGTTCAAAAGCAAACAGAATCTAACCTGCAGCAGTGTACATTTTCTCACATCACTACTCAGTCTCTGTAAAATGTAGCATCATTTGCTTTACAATACCAGTTTAATTCAGGGCTTCTTGGTTAAACTAATATCCTTTCAAAGACTCTGGTTCACTTTTTCATGATCAGTGAGATGTAAATTTTACCAAAATTTTCCATTGTACTTGGCCCAAACAGCAAGATGCTTTTATCATATCCCGTTGGTGGGTCATGACTGCTAATACAATCAAATTTACCCACAAAGCCATCATATAATTTCTACTTGTAGGTTTAGAGGAATATTTTAATACCAGTTCAACCTTCATGCCCTTGAACGAGGGTCAATTTTTCTGAAATTCTTCTGTCATCTCCAAAGTCATCAGCATAGTTTCTCATTAAAAAAAAAAGTGCCTGAAACTTTAAGTGGTTTCCAGGTGCAGTTAACTCACAATTGATCTATATTCTTTAAAAGAAAATAAATATCATTTCAACCCAGTTAAGTATTAAAGCATGAATGCACATATAAAAACTGACAAAATAAAAATGGCTAACACTTAGCATTCCCAATGTTCCATTACCTTAAGCAGTTTGCATATTTCTAGAATTCATTTAATCTTTAAAACAAGTCCAAGAAGGTAGGTACAATTACTCTCTTCATTTTACAAGTAAGGAAATTGAGGCACTGAGAGGTTTAGTAACTTTATAAGGTCACACAACTAGTAAATGGTGAAGATGGGATTCGAATTCAGGCAGTCTGGCTTCAGGGTCCATGCTGTTAACTATGACATCATACTAGGTAAATAAAAACATTTTTTTTTCAGTCTTGTAACTGCTCTTCAGTTTCTGTGAGTTTAAGCTTAAACATATAAATACAAACAGATTTCTGGGTGAAGACACTCAGTAAACATTTATTGAGCTCATGCTGTATATCAGATACTGGGCTAATAAGTAAGTTCCAGTGGGTATGAAGTCCAGATACAGTGCCTGCCCCCAAGAACTTCACATCTGTTAGAAGTTTCTAGTTTGAGCATAACTATTGCCATCTTCACATTTATATGTGCACTGTATGTTTGGGAGAAGGAGCTAATGTGCCCAACAAATTAAACAGCAAAATCTGCCTGTTTACTGCCCAGTGCAGGAATGTTACTTGGTATTTTTCTAATTCACATGTTTCCATTTTGGGAACACTAACAATGATTTTTAAACTAAGAACCATTCTTACAAGAAATTCTATATTTTGATTATCTTCTTTATATTGTAGGCCTTTGCTCAAGGTCATATAACTAAAAAATAGCCAGAGCTAGGAGTTGAACCCAAATTTGTCTAACACTATTATATTCATTATTTGAAGTTTCCTGTCAGTTTGGCCCAGTTTTGCATTTTTATAACTGGTCTTCAGAATTTAAAATAATTTGAGAGAGCCCTTCCGCTCCTTCTTGAAAACTACCTGTGTCCGTGTTAGTGTTAATGTTCATTTATTTTTATTTCCTAATCTGTAGGATTAGGGTATAAATTTGATATATCCACTTGGATGTATAATGCTACAAATATAATTATATCATGTTTATTGTGTTCTTTGACTTGTGTATATATTTACTAATTTTTTATCTGCTTATACTATCAATAATTGAGAGAGGTATGTTAGCCTCCCATGTTGGTGGTAGATTTGTCAGTTTCCCCTTACTTTTGTAAGTATTTGCATTAAAATATTACCCTTAATTTTGAACAAAGAATGTACAATATAATTGTAAATAATTTGTAAGTTACAATAATTTTGTAAGTAAACAAACCATCTTTTCTAAAATATCTTCTTGTGGGCATGAGGTCCTACAAGGATGCTACAGCAAGATATTTCATTTGAGTCTTGACACCCTGTGACTAACATAGAACAAACTGTCATTGGAGCTCAGGTTTGGATCCTCATGTAATCTGAGCTATGATCTCAGTAGATAATCCTTGCTGTTTTGACTACACACCTGTGACTGAATTTCAGTGAAAGGCTTTAACAAGTTTTCTTAGGCTTTGGTTTCTCCATCTGCCAATTGAGAGAATATGAAAGGTCACAGGTTTTCAAACTTCAGATCTGTCTGTCTGGTTTTCTTATTGTGCTTCTATTATTTTTCAAAATATGATGTACCATTTACCATAAAAAGGTGTCAGTTAACTCACTGCATATGAAATAATTTTTTATTCCGTATTTTCCTTTTAGAATTTCTAGAAAACATTCTATCCTATGGTATGGGAGTGGTGTGGTGAAGCAGATAGCAGGTTTCTTTTTTAAGATGCTAATGATAGACTTAGTACAATTACGATTTCTTCTTTGACCTGCGAGTTATTAAGAAGTGTCTAAATTTCCAAAAACTACTGGGATTAAAAATGATCTTTTGTTATTGACTTCCTATTTGATTCCTTGTGGTCAGAGACTGTGTTTTGTATGAGGATAATTTCTTTGAAATTTACTGAGACTGATACTATAACCTATTACATGATTATTTGGGGGGGTAAATGTTCCATATGTGCTTGAAAATAATTTGGTTTTCCAACTGGATATAGAATTCTATATGCTTCCATTAAATCAAACTTATTTTTCTGTTCAACTTGTCTGTATAGTTACTAATTTTTTATCTGCTTGTGCTGTCAGTCATTAAAAGAGGTATATTAATCTCCCATGTTGATGGCTGATTTTTCCATTTCCCTCTCTGGGTATACTTAATCTTCCTTTATATATTTGGAGGTGTTTTATTGTTTCACACAGGTTTATTTACTGTATGTAGTGATCTTCTTCATCTCTTATAGTGCTTTTATTGTCTTGAAGTTTTATTTTTCAGATATTAATATAGCTACTTCAACCTTCTTTTAGTTAGCATTTACCTGACATATCTTTTGCATCTTTTTTACTTTCAATTTTCCTCATCTTTATATTTTAGATGTGTCCCTTTTAAAATGGTACATAGCTGGACTTCTAAATCTTATCCAGTCTGTTTAACCTCTGTATTTTAAAGTGTGAGTTTTGCTCATATATGTTTTTTATGTTTATTGATATACTGAAGCTGTTTCTACCATCTTATCTTTTGCTTCTTCCTTTTTGTCTCATTTTTTTCTGTTCTTTCTTTTTTTCTGTTTGTCTTTAAATTTTTTTCTTGTTCTGTTTTCCTCTCCCCACTACTGATTCTGCAAGACTGCATCTCAAGTGAGCTGACTGGTAGCAGGGTTAGTGTTGGAAATAGTAACTAATGTTTGAAGATGGGGCTGGGGGTGGGACATGGCTTTTCTGAAAGGATTCAGATTGGCAAGTGATGAGGAGAGGAGGCAGGGAGATGATATCAGCAGGTCATGGCTGATGGATCCAAAAAACATTATTTTTTACAAGTGTGAAACAAGGATGTCTGATGGGAACTGGAAGAAGGGGAACAGGGAGTATGAGATAAATGGAGACTTAAAATAGAACCCTAAGGGACTAGGTAAGGGAACTGAACTAAAGGCAAGTAAAAAGCTTATGGGTGACAATGAGGGTCCATCTGAGACTGGAGACCAGGAATTATGTAGGGTCTGGGTATAGGAACAGACAAGGTGGGCCATAGCATTGGAATTTTCCTGGGCAGTTGAAGCTGAAGGGTGAAGGTATATAGGTATGTAAGATACTGATGAGAAGGGTTCAATTTTTGAGTTGTCTGGAGTCCAGAATAGATAGGAAGGGAAGATAGATTAGCAGGAGGTAAGTAGACCAAGAGAAAATGGAGAGTGGGCTCAAGAGACTGCGGTCTTGCTGAGGTTGAGGAATAGGGATAGCAGGAATAGCTGGGGTCAGAAAGTGGGGATTCACGAACTTAGGATCTCAGAGAGATGCAGTTCTGGTCAAGTCTATGAGTATAAAATAAAGATATGTACTATTAGTTCTGTTTTCCTACAGTGCTATCTTTATGTCCTCAATCTTATTGTTTTGATACTGCTCAGTCTCATTATAGTGCCAACGTGCCCATGTCATCAGAGAAATCTCTGCCTCTCTACAGGCACCACTTTTCTAATAAATTTTTTGTTTTCATTGCCAGTGTGCCCATGCCATCCTTGGTCTTTAGCTGCCAGGCAATTGGTGATACCTATTTCATCCAGGAGCTGCTGAATTTTTGACCAGTGCTTCAGCCATAATCTCACATGTGGGAATTCCTTTCCACAATGCTTTTGATTGCTATGTTTAATATTTTATAATTGAGCTGGCCATGATCCTGTCAGGACAGAGCCAGTAGAGCACTAGCTCTAGGATCAAATTGCCTAGGCTTGAATCTCAGCAACTTCACTTACTCACTGTTTATTCTTGAGCAAGTTAACCTAGGTTTTCCTCCACTACAGAGATCAGCTGAATGATTATTTGGGTTAATAGATTTGAGACTTGAGAACATTTAAAGTATTGAAAATTGGACAATTGATGATCCACTTGATGGAGGGGGAGTTTGACTCAGCTGAGTCAAAAAACCACATGGGGACTCCTGCTAGTTGAAGCACTTATCTCCTTTCCTGACCAGCTTCCATGTTCCCAAGATTCACTTAGCACTCTACTGCACTTCAAAACTTCAATCACCTACTCTGTCTCCCAAAGTTCTCACTTCTAACACTACCTCAAGAATATCTTCACCCATTTCATGCACATTTGTTGAGTGCCCACTCTGACAGGTATTGTGCACATTTCTGATGATACAGAGTAAGACGCTTATGCTAAAAGACCCAACCCTTTCCCAGAGTCATGAATAAGTTATTCTTTTTGAAAATTCAAAGTCTCTTCATTTTCAAGGTATAATTCAGGTGGAAGTAGTAGTGGTAAATAGGCCAGATATTTCTACGTTGTCTCTTTAGCTTGGCTCAAGGGGGAAGGTAGCCTACCAAAAGGCTCTAGGTCTGTGGGCCTATTCTAGGGAAAATTATCTGTGTGAAATGATTTCTTATCTAATTTCAGGCAACTCTGATAGCTCTCCTGGTCTGGTTGCTTTGAAGAAAGCAGAGTAGAAGAAAAAACAGAATAAGTCATGTCGGAGATACTTGACCTCTCTTTTCTGTCCGACGTGGAAAGGGATTTGATACTCAATGTCCTACAACGAGACGATGAGCTCCGGAAAGCAGATGAGAAAAGGATTAGGTAAGAGTTCCAGAAAAAGCAAGGGCTCCCACGCCTTTGATCAGTAACAGCTGGACTTTTCCAATTACCTCTCCTCTGACTTCCAGAGGAACTTGTGCAGGAGGCTTGCACCTCCTCCTTGGGTCTGTTTTAGCTCTGAGGGTGTTGCCTTCACAGAATCGAATAGTCTTACTGTCTCCACCCCTCAACTCTTCTCCATCCAACTTATGCAGATTCTAAATCCACTTGTGCTTCTCTTTTGGGTCTTGGCAGGCGACTGAAGAATGAGTTATTGGAGATAAAAAGGAAAGGGGCCAAGAGGGGCAGCCAACACTATAGCGAACGGACTTGTGCCCGGTGCCAGGAAAGCCTGGGTCGTTTGACTCCCAAGACCAACACTTGTCAGGGTTGTAATCACATGGTGTGTCGGGACTGCCGTGTCCAGGAAAGCAATGGCACCTGGAGGTGCAAGGTGTGCACCAAGGAAATGTGAGTGTCACCTACTCAGAGAGGAAATGAGGCCGTAGCTGTGGTGAACAACACGGGCCATTTTTTTAAAAATCCATTTGTCATTTTCCTTTATTCCTTTCCAGAGAGCTGAAGAAGGCAACTGGAGACTGGTTTTATGACCAGAAAGTGAATCGCTTTGCTTACCGCACAGGCAGTGAGATAATTAGGATGTCTCTGCGCCGTAAGCCTGCAGGTACTGGGCCTGTCTAGGAGGGTTCCTTGCGGTGCTTGACCTCAGTGACAGATCCTCTAGTGTAGAACTCTACTGTATTCTTACTGGTGGTGTCTTCACCCCATGGGCTAAGCTTGTTTGTGGGGAATATAAAGACTCTTACCATGCCTCCTCGAAGTATGATGTGTTTCCCTTTCTTTCTCACCACCACACGGCCATGCTTTTGTTTATCTTGAAGTGAATAAAAGGGAAACAGTGGGACAGTCCCTCCTTCATCAGTCACAGATGGGCGATGTCTGGCCAGGAAGAAAGATCATTCAGGAGCAACAGAAGGAACGCAGGTGAGAACCAACCAATCATATAAAAAAAGTTATATATCCCTTTAATTTTATTATTTTTCACTTTCTTCTTTTTATAAAATAATACATGTTTATTATAGGAAAATATGGAAAATGCAGAAAAGAATAAAGAGGGAGGGAAAAAAACATTCTTAATCCTACTACCTACATGTAAATATTAACATTTCAGCATATTTACTTTGTTCCTTATAAGATCAATTTGAGGACAAGTAAAAACAACACATACTTATAATTAAAAATTTAATCACTACAGGAAACAAGCAAAGAAAGCAACAAATCACCCAAATTCCTACTACCCTAGTATTCATATTATGTGACAATTATTTCAGATATCTTGTGTGCTTATATATAAATAGAGGGATGGGTCAATGGATAGACTGAAAAACGCTCATAATATGATCATAATACATTAAATTAAAAGCATTCTGTTTAATTTTATTTGAATTTACCAGAATAAAACACTGAAATAAAATTGAAAAATTGCTAATTTTCAGACAAATGTTTCTTTAGCATAAAATATATTAGTTATTAACGTCCTGCTAAGCTAAAAAAGTATTATAAAAACCATTGAGCAGTCATTTTTTTCTAGTGTCTTTTTGATAACAGCCTTATCAGGATATAGTTCACATACCATACAATTCATTCACTTACAGTGTACAATTCAATGGTTTTTAGTATATTCACAGAATTGTGCAACCATCACCTCTATCAATTTTAGAATGCTTTGTCACCTTAAAAAAAAACCCTGCACCCTTTAGCTATCACTCCCTACAACCTCCCTATCTTTCCCCATCCCTGAGCAATCACTGATGTACTTTTTATCTCTATATATTTGCCTATTCTGGACATTTCATTTAAATGGATTAATACAGTATGTGGTCCTTCGTGATTCTCTTTTCTCCCTTAACATAGTATTTTCAAGGTTCATCCATGTTGTAGTGTGTATCAATACTTCATTTCTTTTTATTGCCAAATAATATTCTATTATATGTATATACCACTTTTGTTTATCCATTCATCTGTTGTGTTGATGGACATTTGGGTTGTTTCTACTTTTTGGCTATTGTGAGTAATGCTGTTATGAACATTCACTGTGAGTTTTTGTATGGACATATATTTTTATTTCTTTTAGGTAGGTACCTAGGAGTGGAGTTGCTGGGTCAAATGATTTTTTAGTCATTTAAAAATATCTACCTGTTTCAATATTAAGCATTATCAGTGCACTCTGCTACAAAAGAGGAGATTAGCTTTCTTAAACTTCCTGCCAACTCTTTCCTCTACTTGCATTTTTTATTACTCATATTATTTTTACTTTGTCAGCACTTGTAACATTATAAATCATCTACTTGTTTTATCTGTTTCTTTAGTTTTAGTTCATGTTTTGAAGGAACTATGCTTACAAGCTGACCATGGACTATAGCTTCCTTTACTTTGATATATCTCTTGCCTGTCTGGATTTTATCACTGAGAAATTCTTTCCAGAAGGGCTTATGGTTGCTATATTTATTTCATTTTTCATGTTAAGTGTCTGGCTAGTGCCTTTATACCTGAATGATATCTTGGTTGGATATTATATTCTTAGATCACACTTTCTTTCCCTCAGAATACTGTAGACACTACTCCATTGCCTGCTGCCATTGAAGGTAACTGTGAAGAAGTCTGAGGTCACCCAGCCTCTTGTTTTTCTCCCTTTTAGGTAATTAACTGTTTGCATGGTGATAATAGAGATTTATATCACCAGAACAAAATCACAGACACTCCCAAAAATCCAGAGGTGGTGTGTGTGTGTGTGTGTGTGTGTGTGTGTGTGTGTGTGTGTGTGTGTGTGTATGCCTGAAAATTTTCTTTTATTTTTCTTTTAGTTTAGTAATTTAACAAGGTTATACCAAAATGGTGATCATCCTGTATCATTTCTCCATAATATGCAGTGTACCCTTGACGAGTTCTTTCTTCATTGCTAGGTAAGTTTTCTGTATTGTATCCTCTGAACTCTTTTTCTGTTTCATTACCTAAGTTCTCTACCTCAAGGACATTGGATTTCTTTATCCTCCATTTCTGTCCTTTTGCTATCAAATGCAAGAGAAAACAAGAACGATGAAAATAATTAACCATGATTAGCGCAACACTTTCCTCAGTGTAATTACTTTGGCTTTTAGCCATTTTCTTTCTTTTAACCTTTTTCCCTCCCTCCTTTCCTTTTTTCTGTATCTAATTTACTTATTTGAATGAATTATCTTGTTTTGGTTTTAATTTGTTCTTTGCTCTCAGTCTTCCTTTCTACCTCATTTTGTCATTTTATCATCTTGTATTTGAGCTCTTGCTAATCTCTTATTTTTATTAAGTTTATCTAATCTCTGTTTCTGTTAAGCTCCTGTGTAGTATTAAAGCACTCACAAGAGAGCTACTTATTTTCCTAGGGTTATATTCTTTTCCAGAATGGAATTTTTGTCTATATTACAAGTGTTTCAGTTCCTCCCCTCCCCCCACCACACACATGGCATATTTTTATATCGACCAGACCATTTCTTTTCATTTTACTCATGTTTAACCTGGGAAATTCTGCCTGTATCTTTTGTGTGCTGTGATACGGTATGTGTGAATTCTTCTTTACAGGCTCCTCATCTCAACTTGAAGCAATTTCTCTCTTCCCTACACCCATCTGTAGTTGAAGGGTAGAATATTGCTTTCTATATACTTTCTTTTGTTATCCAGGGGAGAGGCAAAAGGCAACTTGGGGGTTCTGGGTTTTGGTCTCCTGAGATTGTTTTAAATGTTTGGGTTCCTCAGTCCAGCTCTGGGTGCATCCTCTAGCTCATACCAGCATCCTGAGAGAGGACAGGCCCCAGTAGTCTTGTCTGCCTCTGTTGGGGCTCCTAGTGATATCTGGGACAACAAATTGTTAGGACTTCTGATTTCCTTGACTTATCCCAAGACTGTCTACTCACTCAGTCTGCACTTCTCCACATTGGAGGGAGTTAGGCTGAACTAAATCTTTCTTCTGTTTTCTTAGCCATGACTTTTTGAACTTTATGACTTGAGGCTTTACTCCTTTCTCCATTTGGTTACTTCTGGTGAATTTTTGGCTTGTTATTTGTGGTTTCCTTCCCCCTAACTTTTCCTCAGCTCTACCATGTTTTAGATGATTGTTGAAAAGCAGTATAGAAATATATAAAGTAAGTCCCCAGTAACTTCACTGCTTCTGCCTCAGATAATTATTGTTAATAGTCATTAATAGTCCTGGCATATGGACTTCAGACTCTCTAAATGTACAAATATGGGTTGGATTCTTAAATTTTTAATTCCTTTTTAAAAAAGGATTGTACTATATTACATGTCAAGTGACAAAATAATGAAAGGGAAAGAACTTTAAAAACTCAATAATATAAATAATCAAATAGAAAATGGGCAAAAGATTTGGACAGACACTTCACCAAAAACAATATACAGATATTTCAAATAAGCATATGAGGAATGCCCAACATTATTAGCCATTAGGTAGATGTGTATTAAAATCATGATAAGATACTAGTATACACACACTAAAATAGGTAAAATTAAAAAGACTGACCATACCAACTGTTGGTGAGGATGTAGAGCAACTGGAATTCTCATGCACTGCTGGCAGGAATGTACAATAGTACAGCCACTTTGAAAAACAGTTTAGTAGTGTCCGAACAAGTTAAATGTATACACCTGCTTTGTGATTAAGCCATTCCATTCCTAGGTATTTACTCAAGAAGGTAAAGCATAACTCCATACAAAGACTTGTACATGAAAGTTCATAGCAGCTGTATTTGTAACAACCAAAAACTGGAAACAACCCAACTGTCTATTAATAGGTGAAGGGATAAACTGTGGTTTGTTTATACAGTGGAATACTACTCAGCAATGGAAAAGAATGAGCTGCTAATACAATGCAATAACATGGATGAATCTCAAAATAATCATGGTGAGTGAAAAAGCCAAACAAAGAAGAAGACATACTGTATGTTTCTGTTTACATAAAGTTCTAGAAAGTGAAAACTAAATTTTAGTGACAGAAAGCAGATCAGTACTTAACTGGGGGCAGAGAAGGAGGGATTGATTATGAAGGGCCAGGAGGAAACTCTTGAGAGTGATAGATGTGTTCACTAACTTAATTGTGGTGATGGTTTTACAAATGTATACGTATACATATGTCAAAACTCATCAAATCGCACTTAAACATATGCAATTTATTTATGTCAGTTATAACTCAAGGTGTAAAAAGAAACAAGTATAGAAAAATATAACATTGCATCTTTCTATGTCAGTGCAAGGGTCTATGTCATTCCTTTTGCTCTCTGTATGGTGTTTCGTTGGATGTATGTAGTGTGATTTTAATCACACAGCCTTGGGTGGGTGACTCATCTGTTCTAGGTGATGAGGCCCCCTTTTTCCTTTGTGGATAAGAATGGCTTTTATTTCCTGAATATGATTAACACATCTGACATCACTAGTCAGAATGCAATTTCTGAAACCTATTGCTTCTGGCTGGCTGTGACCTCTTGTCTTGCTGCACCCAGAAGACTCTTCTTTATCCCAAACATGGAAATGGATTAAGTGGCCAAAAATGATCTTTTCCATAAAGTTATGGAGCCTCAGGGGAAATCTAATTCAACCCCCTTATTTTTACAGAAAAGAAAGCAGGATAAGTGATTTACCTGAGATCATACAGATAGTTAAGAGCCCAGGATTCCTGTCTGTTAGTCTATTTTTTTCTGCACAGATGTCAAGTAATTGCTTTTTTGCCCTAGGGTTGTTTGTATCAGTACGTATTAATCTTTAGGAAAAAAAATACAAGCAGAAAACACTCTCCATGAGCCATTGATAAACTACCTCTCTGGAGGAATGGTTCCAATCTGGGTTCTTTAAGCAAAGGGCAGAGAAGAATGAATTTAAAGTAAAAATTAAATCAAGTGCCTTGCTGTGTTTTGGACTATAAAGCTAATACGCCTCTCTAG